CATGCTCTCTCTCTACCATTCTCTCTCTCTCTCTCAATAAATAAATAAAAATCTTAAAAACTATTAAAAAAATAAAAAAAATTAACTGTTGAATTCAGTGGTTTTTGTATATTCACAAGGTTGTGCCGCCATCACTGTTTACTTCAGAACATTTTCAGCAGCCCCCAGAGAAAGCCTGTACCGATGAACAGCCCCCATTCTGCCCTGCCTCCAGCCTCTGGCAACCGCCAGTCTGCTTCTGTCTCTAAGGATTTGCCTGTTCTAGACATTTCATATCAATGGAATCCTACGATGTAGGGTCTTCTGTGACCAGCTTCTTGAGCTTAGCATCATGTTTTCCAGGTCCGTCCATGTCGTAGCAGGTGTCAGCACATCATTCCGTTTTCTGACCAAGTAATATCCCATTGCCTGGATAGACTACATTTTGTTTATTCATTTTTTGTTAAAGATTTTATTTATTTACTTGACGAGAGAGAGAGAGCACAAGTAGGCAGAGCGGCAGGGAGAGGGAGAAGCAGGCTCCCTGCTCAGTGGGACTCGATCCCAGGACCCCGGGATCCTGACCTGAGCTGAAGGCAGATGCTCAACCGACGGAGCCACCCAGACGCCCCTTGTTTATTCATTTTTAAAGTAATAAAAGAAGGAATAAAATTAAGATAACAAACAATTTTTTTAATGAAGACATAATAGAGTTTCCTAACCAGAATCGTTTTTTAGGCAAACTAGAAAACAGGGCAGATTTTTCTGGCACCTGCAAATTTAGGTTTCTATCACTGATATGATTGGTGTTAGAATTTACAAATGTTAACATATATTGGGTGTTTAATGCACATACGTACTAAGTATCTCAGAATAGTTTATTTTAAAACAACAGATCATAAGGTAGACTTTTGAATGATACTAATTAGAGAGACCACGAACATTTTTATCCTATAAAGCAACTGGATAAAAAGTATACTTCTATTTCAATGGACTTCTAAATCAAAATTCTTTTTTTTTTTTAAATCAAAATTCTTACAATGATAAAATAGAATATGGAGCTAGACAGAAAAACAGTCACTGGCAAAATTGGGTAAGATAATGTGGACCAAGAAAGTAGAATTTATTACATATTCAAAAGCACATTTGATGAGTATATTTTCTGCATTAATATCATATATTTAACTTGCAGGTGGACCAGAACAAGGACCGAGCGTGGAAGGTCTTAATGCACCAACGAAGGGGGCTTTAGGTAATAGGCCTACAACTCTATATTCTGATTTAAAGAGAGAGATTCATTAAGACAAAAAATGAATCCCATCTTTACATTCTGCCTAGATTTTGTGGACTAATACAGCATCATGACTGTTAATCTGTTAATAAGATTTTATTGAGCAAAAAAATGTTTTCCATTTTAGCCAGCTTGAGGCCCGTGAATTGCAGCAGCTGGTGTACCTGGTTTAGGTTGCTGCTGAGGCTGTTGGTTTGCTCATTTGCGTTGTGCTGGTTTATGTTCCCAGCATGAGCAGAGGGCAGAGCAGCCCTGCCATTTCCATTGACTCAAGAACTCCTAGTATTTTCTTCTCTTTCTGATTTTACGGTGATCTTTAATGTTTCATTATTAGGGAATTATATTCTGAAATTAGTGCATATTACATGGCATTAATTGGAAAGCAAGTACTTTGGTGAAAAACAGTTAAACTATTAGAAATGTTCCGGATATTTTCATCCTGTGTTAATAGCCTTGTAGGAGGTTGGGGGCCGATTATGTGACTACTGCCACATGGATCCAAAAGGAGGTGATGGAAAGAAAAACTTGCCTAGATATCTTTTTCATACTTGAAATGTAATGATGTTATATTCTCATTAGGGCTAAATTTGAATCTTCTGTTGTTTGTGGTTTTATGCTGCCTTTTCCTATTAAAGCACATTCTCATCTTTGTAAGAAAAAAGTTAAAATTTTATTCTTACTGAGTCCCTTAAACATAGACTATATAATCTATGATCAAAGTTTACCCAGAAAACAATGTTTAAGGAGCTCTGTCTTAAAGCATCATATATTTGTACAATTTATGAATACTGCTACTAAAATAATGGAATGCTTTATAATTCTTATTGATTAATATGATAAAATCTGTATATAAGTCAAGGTGAAAAAGCACATCACTGCTTTAGTTGTATACATAATGCCTGGCTAACTTACTATTTTAAAGTAATTCTAAAAGTTTTTGAAGAGCAGATCTTAATAAGAGAGTGTGTTCTAATATACATAAAAAGTGCTCCTGAAGAAAGCAGTGTATGGGTTCAGGCCAGGCTCTTTATTTCTCTTCACTGTGGTATGCAGAAGACATTTTCTCTGAGTTTGGATACTACTTGGAAATACCAGGAAACTCCATTAAACCAAGCTCTTAATGTAAAATACACTCATATGCCTGAGTCTTCTGGGTGACAAACCCATGTGGAAAATGTTACAGTCTCTTAAATAATGATATGTGTATCTTAAGATTTTTTAAAAGATACACTAAAAATAGAAAAATTATGTATTTCTATTGGTCTGACTTTCTATTTTTTATTTTTTGGCAGAGGTGTCCTCTATCATAAAAAAGAAACCAAATCAAGCTAAAAGAGGAGTGAGTATCGTATGTAAATACCTGGTCGCTCGGCTCTAAAACAGCTCACGCTCTCAAGAAAGCCACCTTTGTCACTTCCCATATTGTGTATAATACATGTGGCTTTGATAAAGAACCTATGCTTTGTGCAGTGAGGTGAATGTTAGACGTAGTGAAGATTTTCTAGAATGAGTATTCGACATTTTTCTGTTAACAGAATTAAAAAAAAAAAAAATCAATGGAGGTTCCATGGAAATTCCTGACGTGTGTGCATTTCTGTAAGCGATGCCTTCACCGGAGGCTTGGAGGGTTGTCATCCGCTGAGCTTACAGAGAGCATGATTCCCTGTAGAGCCCCTGTTCTGGAGGCAGGCACCAAGGCAGCCACTTTGTCACCTCGTGGCTGTGTGATCTTGGTCAAGTCACTTAACTTGCCTCAGCCTGAGCAGCTCCCCTGTGAACTGGGGCTAATAGCAATGCCAGCTTGACAGGGTCATGAGGACTAAGTGAGAGAATGAATGTAAAGTGCAGGTCACAGGTGCCTGGCAGGTAACAAACCTTAGTCATGTTAGCTGTTGCTGCAAAAGCTTTCAAACAGTTTGGGTAGAATCTAATTTTATATATCTTCTAGCTTGGGGCCAAAAAAGGAAGTTTGGGGGCCCAGAAAGTGGCGAATACATGCTTTAACGAAATTGAAAAACAAGCCCAGGCTGTAGATAAGATGAAGGAACAGGAAGACCTTCTGGCCAGGGCGGCACCTAAGGAAGAATCAATGTAAGTTTAACTTAGTTCTAGTAGCGTGAATAAAACTGTTAATCAAACAATTCTGAGGTTTGCTTTCCAGATGCCATTTAATTTTTTGTTTTATTTATTTATTTATTTATTTATTTATTTATTTATTTATTTATTTATTTATTTATTTATTTATTTATTTATGGTGCTGGGGAGGGGGGCTGCCTGGATTGGAGAAATTGGAATGATAATGTGGAGTCCCTTTAAGTCGGGCCAGTCATTTACATTTTATCTGAGAGGAGCACTGGAATGAGGGGGGTGTATTTTGGAAAGTGAGTATGGTAGTGAGATCAGACACAGAATGGGACAGAAACTGGAAGCCAGGAGGCCAGTCAAGAGAATGGCTGTAAGTATACACTGAAGGCTCTTGAGAGGCTTTGTTTGTGCTGGAAACAGAAGAGCAGTATGGCTGTCTGGAGAGTGCATGTGCTGGGTATAAAATATTGCCGGGAGAGAAGAAAGCAGGGTGAACACAACACAGGAGAGGCGGCTTGGGTTCCTAGTTCTTATATGTGTTTATTTTACTTTTATGGTATTTTCTCATCTTTTCATGTGTATTCTATCAGTTTTGACTTGAATTACTATAGACTGCATCATGAAGAAAATAATGCTTATTTTATGAGGTTTAATGCTTTGAAGAATAACTTAGTTAATGCTTTGAAGATTAACTTAGTTAATGCTTATCAAAGTGCATCAGACAGTGCCCGGTGCAGAGTAAGTGCTCAATCAGTGTGCTTTCTTATTCATACTAACAGTTTGCCAAGGGGCTTTCTAGTTGCTAAGCCCTGAGAATTTGAAATTATTTCTCCTTGTCATTTAATTCAAAGAACATAGGGGGCAGCACTAAATTGTAGTTAGGCTAGATATGGTTTGAAATGCTTTCTGTAAAATGTACTTCCAGCGGTCACAGACCTCACTTTTAATTTCTCTAAGCTAGGTTCTTGACCCTGGGAAATGGGGCGGAAGGTCAAATCTGAGGCTCTAGACTGCCTCCAAAAAGTATACTCAAAAAGCTGTTACGTATTTTCTGAGTGATAAAATTGAGTACATTGCTAGAATCTGTTCTGTAGGAATAATAGTAAAGAGAGCAAACTGCCAGATCAAAACAAAACAAATCCTGCTTATGAAGGAAGAAAACAGCAGACAAGCATTTTTTTTCTATTTTCTGTTGACTGTGTTTTTCTAGTTAGAAATATCATTGTCATTCCCTGTTAATACAGAGAAATGTATTTATATTATTATGGAATTTACACTGCCTTACGAGGAATTCATGACATTTTACACAATTTTATAAAATGGATAATAGCTTACAGTTCCTGATAAAATAGGTACAGCACTTTTCAGGACCCTGACATTTTGTTGCTATCTTACTAATATAAAATACTCTTGTTACTGCTGATACAGGCACAGTTTTCTTTATAAAAAATTAATTATTTATAACATTGCTAGAAATCTGGGAGTCAGGAACAGTGTTGTATACCTCTTTTTACCCCTCTGGTGCATCATTTGTAACAGGCGTTTGATAAACAAATCATTAGTGTCTGACTTGTAGCACAGTTTTAAATGCTCTCAGAAGCCTCATATAGAGATCCTCTGAAGAATCCTTTTGCAATTAAGTAACTCCTTAATTTATCTATTTGTAAAGTCAAATATATTTGTGTGTGTGTGTGTGTGTGTGTGTGCGTGTGCATGCATATACTTAAACCAAGCAAACCAGTGAGACTAACCTTATACTTTTGCTATGTAATGTGGAAGTATAAATAAAATATTAATCCAGGTAAGGAATTCTGCTTTTTACTATCCTATATAACATAATTTCCATATATATTATGTTATTATGTAGCAGGTGGTATAAACCATTATCATATGGTGATAGCCTGATATGAACTAGAACAGTAAGGTAGGATCAGCAGCAACAAAAAGTGGCTGTAAATTCGTTCAAATTTTCTTGAGCATCTACTCAAAAAAGACCTTTGGGGGGGAAAAAAGCGAATTTGCCTTCCTAATTATCAGTTATGGAAAGAAGTATGAAGCTCACATTATAAGTGACATGTTTAATTTTGCTTAGTGTTTTAACTTGAGAACACAGAATTAAAGCTAAATTAAGGAGCATTTGGTTTTTCTGGCAGCGTTTCATCACTGCGATTAGCCTATAAGGATCTTGAAATTGAAATGAAAAAGGACGAGAAGGTGAACATGAGTGGCAAAAAAAAGATAGAGTCAGAGAGACTTGGCATGGGATTTGGAAACTGCAGAAGGTATGTGGCTTCCAGGATTTAAACCGGGTTGCTGATCGTGAATGGCTTTTCCTTACTAACGTCAGCTTGAAAAGTATTTTTTCTTGATTCCTTCCTTTCTTCAATTTTTTCCTTTCATAATCAACATAACATGAAAAATTCCAAATTTGAGTCTCAAAAAAAAAAGGAAATAGGCCTGACTTGTCGCTAAGCAGATGCCACAGACAGAACTGATACGTGTGACCGTATTTTGTGTAATTCGTTCCAGTCTTCACTAAGGCTTTTCAATGCTGATGCCAAAAAATATATGTACTGTGTTTATTGCTCATGTTTTTAACCCCACTAATACATTTTTGTTGTTGCTAAGAGTATAGATTAAAATGTTCAAGGGCACCTGGGTGGTTCAGTTGGTAAGCGTCTGCCTTCAGCTCAGGTCATGATCTCAGGGTCCTGGGGTCGAGCCCCGCATTGGGCTCCCTGCTCAGTGGGGAGCCTGCTTCTCCCTCTCCCTCTCCCTCTGCCACTCCCCCTGCTTGTGCTCTCTCTCTCTCTGTCAAATAAATAAATAAAATCTTTAAAAAAAATAAAAAATAGGGGCGCCTGGGTGGCTCAGTCTTTTAAGCGTCTGCCTTTGGCTCAGGTCATGATCCCAGGGTCTTGGGATCAAGCCCCACGTCAGGCTCCCTGCTCAGCGGGAAGCCTGCTTCTCCCTCTCCCACTCCCCCTGCTTGTGTGCCCTCTCTCGCTGTGTCTCTCTCTCTCTCAAATGAATAAAATCTTTTAAATAAATAAATAAATGGTTCATTCTTCGGTGAACACAAGTGTCTTCATAAACGAATGTAATTTTTTCCCATTTTATTCTCTATTTTCTCAAGTGGTATTTCACATTCCGTGACTTCAGATATGCAGACCATTGAACAGGAAACACCAATCATAGCAAAACCCAGAAAGAAGTACAGCGATGACAATGATGATTCCTATTTTACTTCCAGCTCAAGGTAATCTGCTAAAAATCTACCTTAAAGTGTTGTCTTGAAAGCAGTGATTAGTGTGGACTTACTCACTTATTTGCATTAGGAGCAAATACAAATGCATTTATTTCATTGCTTTTAAAAGCTTTAGCTGGAGTCAAGGGTGTCCTTTGGAAAAAAACTGGGGAAACAGTCACAAGTGGACCATGCTTGCTCATACTAAGATGTTTGAGAATAAAAATCATCAACCAAGAGTTAAAATGAGAGGTAGGAATTTATGTTTAACTAAATGTGAAATTGGAGAAATAAAGCAAGATCCCAGAGGTCCAGATCCTTTTGTTTCAGAATACCCGCTTCTGGAGTCTCCAGCTGGCAGGACGGAATATTAAGTAAACACTATTGTGTGTGCTTATCGATTCATGGAAAACGCTAGTGTGCTCTGAAGGCTCCCAGGGCAAGCTGACTTCCGGCGCGGCAGTGTTCACCATCAGGTGGGGACGAGTTGCCTGACTGCAGTGTGAAGCCGACCGTGGCTGAGTGCCGTGGTTCAGGTTCAGGGGCCTGAGGGGCAGGGAGAACAAGTTTAAACCTGAACCGACTCCCTTTGTGAGGTTCTTCTGAGAACCTGACCAGCACAGGGAGAGACTGCTAAAAAGGCACCACATAACACCTTGGCTGTTAACTGGAGGTGGGCGCCAGCCGAGAGCACAGCAGTAAGAGTGTAGGCCCCAGTGCAGACGGCCTGGGTTCGATTCCTGACTGGGCCGCTTAATGACTGTGTGACCTTGGCCAAGTTACTCAGCCTCTCTGTGCTGCAGCTTCCTCATCTGTACGTTAGGGATCCTAGTATCTACCTCACAGTGTTGTGGGGGTGGGTACATGAGTTCATGCAAATGGAGTGTTTGGAATAGGGCCTGACTATTATTCGTGTTATGTTTAGCTGCTATTATGATATAGAAATTCAGTTCAAGAGACATGTGACCCAGTCAAAATGTTTAATTACTGTTGTTAGATACTTAACCACATTGAGGGCCACCTTCAGGTTTGGAGTTTGGGAAAACCGAATGTGTGCCTATCAGTAACGGGCTCCATCGCTCACGTCTAGAAGGGCATTACTGTTGTCTGGCAGTTACATAGGCTTCAAGTGTTTTCATATATATAAAGTGGACATACACATCACATATATAGCCAGTACAAAAACATGTTAATATTAACTAGAGCCGGTCGTGAGATATATTCTTCAAAGTTCATAGGTTAGTACTATCCTTAAAAAATTCTTCTCGCGGGCGCCTGGGTGGCTCAGTTGGTTAAGCGACTGCCTTCGGCTCAGGTCATGATCCTGGAGTCCCGGGATCGAGTCCCACATCGGGCTCCTTGCTCGGCAGGGAGTCTGCTTCTCTCTGACCCTCTTCCCTCTCGTGCTCTCTCTCATTCTCTCTCTCTCAAATAAATAAATAAAATCTTTAAAAAAAAAAAAATTCTTCTCGCATAGCTTCCCATTATTTCAAGTCCAGATATTTTACCAAAAAAAGTGAGTAGTGTAGTGGTGTTCCCTGTCAGTGCTGTCAGAGACAGAGGGGGGTTTCTCTTTGCCTGCTGTCAGTAACCTGTATAATACGCCAGGTTTCAGTGTCCTTAGAGGTCACTACCAAAGCATGCCTTTTAAACGTATTTAAATACATTTTCTGTGGGATAAAATTAAATTTCTAACTTGATTTGAGAGCTGCATGCACGTCAGATCATTTCAGATTCACTCTTCAATGAGCAAGTGGGTCTTGGTCAGAGGAGACTCTAGGTGATGCGGGTTCCACCCTGGCCCATTTGGCTTCTCCACACCTCTTTTATCATTTCACTGCTCATTAGCACCTCCTGCACATGAAAGCGTAGAAAAGTAAAGAAATTTCTAGTTAAATCAGCACTGCTGCTTGGCAGCCAAGTTGCAAAGATACGGATTCAAGTGAAGTTATCCATGGGATGGGCCCTGAGAAACTTCTGGAGAACATCACTGGCTCCAGGTCCCTGATCAGCTCCCGGGGGGCTTTATCTGCCTTTGTCAGGAGCCTCAGGAATCCTGTACGTTTCTCTTTCTCCAGAAGCTTAGTCAGAAGAGTTCGTCCTAAGGCCTTTCTTGCTATGAAACAATTATTTATGGTTTGAAACATGGGAGCAGGTGTTTTTATACAGACCACACACACTCAGTGGGCTCCCGCCAGAGACCGTGGCATGTCCTCGTCTCCTGCAGGTTGTGAGTCAGGAGCACGAGTGCCTTTTCCAGCCCTGCTCGGGTTGTAACCACTGCTAGTGCAACAAGGACACTGTTAGTTCTCTGGCAGCTGAGGGAAAGGAGACACAGCCTCTGGGAGAGCCAGCGTATTAGCTCCATGAAGAGCTTGCACTGCTTCCAAATTATTCATTAGCCCATTAGAACTTGAAACATCATCAATTATGAAAGAGTGCCGTTTCTATTAAAAATAAGATCCACCATGTCTTTGGGCTTTTTTTTAAATTGAGTTCCATTATATTCAGGATATAAACAGTATAATTATATACAGAGTACAGAATAATGACACTAGAACAATTTGCTCAGCCTCATGCAGCCAGCATGGCCTTCACTGGGATAGACAGTTGTCTACAGCTATAAATCACATTCATACATGCTGTTAGGGTACTTTTATCAAGGGGTTGTAAGGAACACCTTCAGAGTTGGATGCAGACAGTACGAGAGCAAAAATACAAGTGACAAGCACTGCGAACCAGGATCTAGAAATGAGAGCATTAGAAAGTCAGTAAAGGGGCGCCTGGGTGGCTCAGTCGTTAAAGCGTCTGCCTTCGGCTCAGGTCATGATCCCGGGGTCCTGGGATCGAGCCCTGCATCGGGCTCCCTGCTCCACGGGAAGCCTGCTTCTCCCTCTCCCACTCCCCCTGCTGGTGTTCCCTCTCTCGCTGTGTCTCTCTCTGTCAAATAAATAAAATCTTGGAGGGAGGGAGGGAGGAAGGAAGAAAGTATGGATGATGGTTATGAGGAAGGATATGGATGTCGGAGACGGCTGTTGTGTTTCTGAGGCCAGGCAAGTGTCCCACAGCCCTTAGTCGTCAGTCAACCCATCCTCCAATGGGCCTGAGGCCTGATGGGGCAGCAGGCTATGCCCCCGAGGGGTGCTGCCTGTCTCCTGCATCTGTCGGAGCATGGAGAGCCCACCCCCACGTCCAGCCTCCCCAGCACACAGAACACACATGGTGCTCCTGCTGATCGGTAGGATCCTAGCAGAATGGCTCTCTCCTTCTGAATTTTCAATAGTCCAGTCATTGAAAACTCCAATGCCCTGGGGCGCCTGGGTGGCTCCATCATTAAGAGGCTGCCTTCGGCTCAGGTCATGATCCCAGGGCCCTGAGATTGAGCCTCGCATCAGGCTCCCTGCTCTGCGGGAAGCCTGCTTCTCCCTCTCCCACTCCCCCTGCTTGTGTTCTCTCTCTCGCTGTCTCTCTCTCTCTCTCTGTCAAATAAATAAATAAAATCTTTAAAAAAAAAACAAAAACCTCCAATGCCCTTATATTCCAAGATAAGCATTTTGCCTTATACAGATGAAGACTTTCCTTGGAGTGACAACTAAATCTGTAAAATCCTAAATCCCAACAGCTCAGAGTTGTGAGGAGTCTGGAAGTTCCAACCACCTCCTGTCCAGTGCTTCCTGCCCTGCCCCCAGCATCCTCCAGGGGACGGTGGGGCCCCCCACCCACACTCCACTCTCTCTCCTCTTCAAGATGGCCATATGGTCCAGGGGCAGCTCCATGAGGAATGATGCCTCTACTTACACACCTCACTGGGTTTCTGAGCTCAAATCAGCCAACCCCATGACGGCAAGGACTGAATATGTCTCCTTGCCCTGTATCCTCATCTAGCAGAGTACCAGCTCCTCATAGATGCTTACTAGGTATTTTTTAAATTTCTCATTGACCTGGTCTTAATTCTTTTGCTTGGGCCCTTACAAATAAGTCTCTCAAATAATTAAAGGTAACTTTCCAGGCCAATGGGCCTCCCACATTTTGGAAGCCCTCTTTCTCTGAACCACTTGAAGTCTCCTTGTCCAAGTCTCCTGTCAAGAGGGGAGAGCCCAGGACTCCAGGCTCACTCCCCCACCAGCCACGGAAAGAGCCTGGCCCATTCCTCACTGACACGCAGATCCACTCTGAACCTGCATCTTCCTTCCTGAGGAGAGAGGACCAGTGTGACGAGATTTGCTCTTAATAACGACCTTGCCAGAGAAGGCAGAAGCCACTTTTGGAAATTCTGCTTTCTTTCTATTATCTGTGTAAAGTCACACCATCTGCTTCAAATAGCAAGTTTATCCCTTCTCACTTTTTTTTTTTAAACCAGGAAAAAGAATATGTTTTTATTAACATTTCTACCCCCCCACGTCTTAGTTCATCTGGGCCCTTGGCCTATTTGTTCTCGAAGGTTCCTGCTGCCCCCTTGTATTTGTCTTTGATTACAGACCCCTCTGACTGCCCCAGCTTTCCATCTTTGTAGGACTTCTTACGACATGGGAGCTTGGTGCTCACCACGTATCCCATGTGCTGCTTTTCTTACTCTGCAGAAAGCCTGGGTGACTTTTTTTGAAAGCCTCTACGTCCTCTTGCATCGTCCTTCCTTTCTCAGGACCAAGCCTTGGAATCTGCCCCTTCTGAACGTCTTGAACCCCACCTTTAAAAGGAGTGCATATCTGGCAGGCCTGTTTTCCATCCTAGGCTGTTGTGAATTCTGAGAAGCCATGGCACACTCCCTCACCCATCAGTCTCTGTCGTGTTCCAGACAAACCCTGCTGCTCGTGGTCAAAGATTGCTCTGTCACCACACAGGACCAAAAGCTGCCATTGAGTTTTGCTCTCTGAGCAAGGCTCTGCTCGGTGATGCTTGGCTAATGAAAGGGTAAACCGATCTAGAAGGCCAGCATCTCCTCAGAGATGCTTACAGATCAAGTTCACTCCAAGCTTCAGGCTGCAAGATCATCTGCAGAGTGGTCCAGTGATCAGTCCTCCATAGCTGTGCATCTGACTCAAGGAGGAGGCTAATTAGCATCATTTACATGAAGTGGGAATTGGGATTTATTGTTAGGGTTGATGGCTTATCCTGGGGCTAACATGGCAGGGACTGCCAACAAGGTGATGGTGTTTTGGATGGGGTTTTTGTTGTGACTACCTAATTAGGCAGAACTAGATGCAAAGAAAGCAAAATACGTAAGTAAAGACACTCAAAGATACCATGTGCTACCAGATGGGCTAGGTTATGCTGCAATGACAACTATCCCCCCATCCTGAAGGCTTAACACAATGATGGTATACTTGTTCAGCTGAGGCTACAGGTGATTGTCCAGATTAGATTACCTGGCCTTTGGGTGGCACCTTGATTTTCCTGATGGATGGCGTCTTCTCCTGCCCGAGGCCATAGCACCTGGAAAACACCACCTTGTCTTCCATGTGGCGTGGGAAGGGGGGATTGGGCAAGTTGAGCACGGGCACTTTGGAGGCCTTGGAAATGACCCTCTTCATGCCTGCTCCTGTCTCATTGGTCAGCTGTAGTCACATGGCTGCTCCCACCCTCAAGGGCCAGGGAGTACGGTGTGGAGGACATCAGTAAGGTCTCCCAAGTCACTGTCACTCTTTTTCGTACAGGTACTTGGACGAGCCGATGGAGTTCAGGAGCAATTCTTTTTCCAGCTGGGACGACAGTTCAGATTCCTACTGGAAAAAAGAGACCATCAAAGATACTGACACTATCCTGAAAACCACAGGCTATTCAGACAGGTATGAACACAAAGCGGTGGGATTGTAAATAGTGAGGCCACACGTCTTTAGGGAAATTCTCTTAAGACTAGTAAATGATTTTATTCAACTATTTCAAGAATATTCTTTGCATCCTGGTCTGTTTTCTGACCTTGCAATCTTACCTTTCCCAGATTCATACAGTAATTGGCCTTTTAGACTGGCTTTTTTGACTTTTCATGGTACATTTGAGACTCATCATGACGTTGTGTTCCTTCGTCTTTATTGTTGAGTCGTTTGTCCATTCACCTGTCGAAGGACTATCTCCAGTTGTTGGTGATTATGAATGAAAGACTTTATAATCTCCTGTCCGAACCAGGGAGCTGTTGAGAGCGCAGGGAGACATGGCGAATACGTGGAGACAAGAAGTGCAGCCTGGGACTGTGCTAGGTGACCGGAGTATTCTCATTCTGTGTCCCCCATGATGTGAAGCAGCTTCTTATGTGCATTACAGTGTACTCAGTATTTACTAATGGGTCTGTGGCACTGAAGAGTGAAATGACTGGTCTATTTAAATAAGAAAATTCCTTCGAATGTTGGGTGGTTTAGATATTTATTCATGTTTGTATTAGAATTTTCAGGCTTTTTAATGTGGCCTGAAATCCTTTTATAAAATTACCACTGTCAGCTTTTTAAAGAGTAAAATGGCATTGGTATACATTATAAATGAGAAATGCATTTGCCTCACCTCAAATTAGTTTAACCTATTTGGTCTGGATTTTTTTGTTTGTTTTCATTTTGTGTGCTGAGAACACTTAAGATCCATACTTGTAGCAAATTTCAAGTATACAGCGCAGTATTATTTACTATAATCACCGTACTGTACTTCCATCCCCAGAACTTACTCATCTTGTAAGTGGAAGTTTGTGCCCTTTGAATATCTGCCCATTTACCCTACCTCCAAGCCCATGGGAAACACTATTCTACTCTCTGTTTCTGTGAGTTTGACTTTTTTGTTTTTAAAGATTTTATTTATTTGAGAGAGAGAGCACAAGCCTGGGGGGCGGAGGGCAGAGGGAGAAGCAGACTCCCCACTGAGTAGGGAGCCCAGTGCAGGACTCAGTCCCAGGACCCCAAGATCATGACCTGAGCCGAAGGCAGACATTTAACCAACTGAGCCACCCAGGTGCCCCAACTTTTTCTTTTAAATTCTGGATTCCACATATAAATGAAATTGTACAGTATTTTTCTTTCTCTGTCTGGTTTATTTCACTTAGCATAGTGTCCTCCAGGTTCATCCATGTTGCCACAAATGGCAGGATTTCCTTTTTTTTTTTTCATGGCTGAGTAATGTTCCATCGTATGTATGTTTTCTTTATCCATTCATCCATCAATAGACGCTTAGATTGTTTCTGTGTCTTGGCTACTGTGAATAATGCTGCAGTGAACATGGGAGTGCAGAGATCTCAAGATACTGATGTTGTTTGCTTCACACACATACCCGGAAGTGGGATTGCTGGATTAAGTGGTAGTTCTATTTTTAATGTTCTGAAGGACCTCCGTGCTGTTTTCTCTGCGGCCGTGCTAATTTACATTCCCACCAACAGTGTACGGGGCTTCCCTTTTCTCCAGGTCCCGTCAATATGCATCTTTTTGGGGAACTGCCATCCGAACAAGTGTGAGGGGGTGTCTCATTGTGGTTTTGATTTCCATTCCTTGGTGATGAGTGATGTGGAACATTTTTTCAGATACTCATTGACCATAAACTTCCTTCTTAGAACTGCTTTTGCTGTAGTTCATAAGTTTTGGTATGTTGTGTTTCCATTGTCATTTGTTTCAAGATATTTTCTTACTGCCCTTTTGATTTCTTCTTTGATCCATTGGTTGTTAGGAATGTGTTGTGAATTTGTGAATTTTCCAGTTTCTTCCTCTGGTTGTTGATTTCTACTTTCAACCATTATGGTTGCAAAAGACAATATGATTTGTCTTCTTAACTTATTAAGATCTAAGGTATGATTTAAATGTGTTTTGTGGGGCGCCTGGGTGGCTCAGTTGGTTGAGCGACTGCCTTCGGCTCAGGTCGTGATCCTGGAGTCCTGGGATCGAGTCCCGCATCAGGCTCCCTGCTCAGCGGGGAGCCTGCTTCTCCCTCTGACCCTCCACCCTCTCATGCTCTCTATCATTCTCTCTCTCAATAAATAAATAAAAATCTTTAAATGTGTTTTGTGACTTAACATATGATTTGTCCTGGAGAATGTTCTGTGTGTGCTTGAGAAAGTGTGTTCTACCGCTATTGGATGGAATGTCCTGAATGTGTCTGTTTGTCCTTTTGGTCTAAGGTATTGTTCAAGTCCAATTTTTCTTGATTTTCTGTCTGGGTGAACTGTCCATTATTGAAAATGGGGGACTGAAGTCTTCTATTGTGGTTTCAGTACTGTCTCATTCTCCCTTCAGATCTGTTAATATTTGCTTCATATGTTCAGGTGCTCCAGTGTTGGGTGCATGTATATTTACAATTGTTATATCCTCCTGATGAATTGACCTCTTTTTTGTTATATAATAACCTTTGTCTCTTGTTACAGTTTTTATTTATTTTGAATTTTATTTATTTATTTAGAGGCGGGGAGGAGGCGGGGAGGAGCAGAGGGAGAGAATCTCCAGCAGACACCCCGCTGAGTGTGGAGCCTGACTTGGGGCTTGACCCCATGATCCCAAGATCATGACCTGAACTGAAATCATGAGTCAGACACTCAACCCACTGCGCCACCCAGGCGCCCCTACGTTCATGTTTTTATGTTATTAATTACCATTCATCAATTCAGCTTGCGCAACTCCTTTTAGCACTTCTCTGGCACCAGTCTGGTGGTTGGCAGGGCTTCTGTTTTTGTTTGTTTTTGTTTCAGCACTTTGGATATATCATCCTCCTATCTCCTGGCCTGCTAGGTTTTTGCAGAGAAATCTGCGGATGGCCTTACAGGGATTCCATTTTATGTGAAGAGTTTCTTTTCTCTTGCAACTTTCAAAATTCTTCGTTTTTTTCCTTATGCTGTGCTTTTTATCCCCATGACTTACTCATTTCGAAACTGGAGGCCTACATCGCCCTCTCCCTTTCACCCATTTTGCTCATCCCTCTTACCACTCTAGTAACCATTGTTTGTTCTCGGTAGTTCTGGTTCTTTTTTTTTTTCATAGTTTTAGTTCTGATTCTGCTTTTTGTTTGTTTATTCTTTTTGTTTTTAGATTCCCTTTATGAGTGGAATCATATGATCTTTCTCTCTTCTTGTCTTTGATTTTTGACAGTTTTATTATAATGTGTCTTGGTGAAGATCTCTTTGGGTTGAATCTCTTTGGGGACTTTTGAGCTTCATGTACCTGAATGTCCACATCTACGGATTTGGAAAGTATTTAGTCATTATTTCTTTAAATAAGCTTTTTGCCCCTTTCTCTCTCTCTTCTCTTGATGGAGTTGAATCTCCCGTATTATCTCTTTTCCCATAATGCATAAATTTTTTTCTTATGGCATCCCATAATTCACCTAGGCTTTCTTCCCTTTTTCGTTCTTGGTTTCTTTTTCTCTTCTGACTGGATAATTTTAAATGACTTGTCTTCAAGGTCACAGATTCTTTCTTCTGCTTGATTAGGTCTGCCGCTGATGTCCTCTGTTGTATTCCTCAGCTCCAGAGTTTCTGTTTAGTTCTTTTTTATGATTTCTATCTCCACGTTGAACTGCTAGTTTTGTTTGCGTATTGTTTCCCTGATTTAATTGAGTCGTGTGTGTACTTGTAGGTTGCTGAGCTTCCTTAAAATAATTATTTTGAAATGTGTTGGGCAATTCCTTGGGGTCAGTTCTTAGAGAACTATTGCGTTCCCTTAGTGGCATCATGTTTCCTTGATTTTTCATGTTCCTTGGGGTCTTGGGTTGCTGTCTGGCCTGAGGTGAGAAATGCGTTCAGCAGCAGACCTGCTAGGGATTCTGAAGCTTCCTCAGACTTCCTATGTGTGCCCACTCCACACTACTTACTCCTTTTGGGGGGTGAATTCTTAAGATGGTATGCCTTTTCTCAATCCTACAAGGCCAGGCCAGGTGCTTGAGCCTCCTGTTTGCTTTCCCTTGGTACTCTGAAATGCTCAAGTTTGTGTACTTTGTCCCAGTCCCGCAGAGTCGGCCTGACTTTCTGCACATGCCCAAAAGGCTTGTACTGCCATCTCTGGGGGCCTATGCAGGGAGCCGGCAATGGGGGGTGGGGGTGTGTGCGGGGGTGAGGTGCACAGAGCACTGGAAGGCACCCATGGGCCAGTTGGGGGCCCCACAGGCAAAGCGTACCCAGCGGCTTGTGAGTGTGCTTCCTCATGGTGTCCACAAAGTGGTTAGCAGCACCTGCAAGCCTTTGATAAGTTCTGAGCCCTGGCTGCTGAGCTTCCAGCATCTCCCAGCCCCTAAGCCATGCAGATCACCTCAGTATTCCAGATGGGGTGGGAAAGAAGAGGCATCCTCTGCAGTGTTCCACACAGCTGGGGAAATCAGGCACCCACTCACCACCCTCTCACCTTCCCCTGTGGGAGATATCATGGGCCAAGGCTGAGCTATGCCACTTTGGGGGCGAGGTGGCCCAGGCAAAGTGAAACTGTTCTTCTTACCCTCTTCCCAGTGTGTCCGGTCTTGGATTGTTTGCTCTGACAGTGTGCTGGAACCTCTCTGCTACACTTCTACGCTCCCATAAAGGCATTTTTGCCTGTAGACGGTTGGTCAGAATCAGTGCTCTGTAGGGGGATGATGGTAGGAAACTTCTATTCCACTGTCTTGCTGATGTCATTCCTGTTTGGGCTGTTTTTAATTGTAGATCTACCGCTCGCCGTAAGCCAGACTATGAGCCAGTTGAAAATACAAATGAGGCCCAGAAGAAGTTTGGGAATGTCAAAGCCATTTCATCAGATATGTACTTCGGAAGACAAGCCCAAGCTGATGTAAGTGTCCAGAGAGTTTGTGTGTGGGCCCCGTAGAGCGGGAAGCGAGCGGGGACATGAGGACCACAGGAGGATGTGATAGGCACAGAGCGAGATGGACTCAGGCTGCGAGAGGCCTCTGCCCCGGGGTGCTGGCGGCAGGACTCGAACCCAGGTCTTCCTGCCCACTGCCCCTTGCGGCTCCAGCTGGACGAGCAGCTGGAAGGTAGGCACCAGGTCTCACGTTTCTCTAATTCCTTTCACGGTATTTTGAACAGACATCCATTTCATATCTTTGGAATAAACTTCAGGCAATTTTCAATACAGATGTAATTTACTTAATTTTTAAATTATTATTAATGAAATTAAATGAAGTAGACATGTTTTTGGAGGGTAGGTATATTTATCTTCAGGTTGTTGCCTCTTAGTGGAGTCTTGCTAAGCAGAAGGGTCTTATGGCAATGAGGGGGCCTAAGGTTTTGTTCTACCGTCGGAGCGCTGGCAGGCTGGCGCAAAGCCTTGGAGGTCCGCGTCACGGACTGACGGGTCATTCTCTCCGCCTTCCCTTGCGCTCAGCAGCAGTCACGTGTCAGCTCCGGGCTGATGCTTTTTGCACAATTGCTCACGGTATTTGGAGCCTAATGTTTCCTCTTCCTTGTCTTCTCTAGTATGAAACCAGGGCTCGGCTGGAGAGGCTCTCGGCAAGTTCTTCCATTAGCTCAGCCGATCTGTTTGATGAGCAGAGGAAGCAGACAGCAGGTACTGGGGGCAGGGGCGGGGCGGCTCACAAGCTTGCTGTCCTCTGTGTCTGCAGCACGAATGCATTTTCTCTGCACGGAACTTTGTACTTTTCCAAGATTATCAGCAACCATTATGTGATGCTCTTCCTCCTCCATGAGTCAGAGCAGAAATTACTATTATTCCAGGCTTTGCATGTCAGGACACCAGGTCATGACATTTCACCAGTGTCCTGGGACCTAGGTTGCCCGGCAAGTCATCTTCCTGAAACAGTGTCTCCTAGTCCAGTGGGAAAATGGTATGTGATCTGTGTGGTATTGGCAGCCTTGCAGGGGTCAGCCCTGGGCTCCTAGCGTCACTGCCCACTCCGTGCCTGAGACCTTGAGCATTTCATGGCACTTTTAGCCTCAGCTTCTCCTCTCCGAAGTGGGTGGATAGTACATCCCTAACAAGGTTACACTGAGGCTTCAGTGAGTTGCTGTGTGTAAAGTGTCACCTGGGCGTCTGACATAGACCCCAGGGGAGGCAGAAACAGATAGAACAGGAGAATCCACCAGGCTCCGTCTTCCAGGGAAGGCAGAATGTAGCCTTGGGAACAGGCAGGTGGAGAGGAATTCCCTGTCTCCCCCATACCTCTTCGGGTCCAGACCCCATTGTAGAGAGTCTGGGAGCCCCAGGGAGTGCACCTCAGAGCCCGGGCCCAACATGGATATCCAGAGCCATGCCACTCTCCGCTTGTACCTCTGGGTCCCTGAGCCGTGTTGGATCCCACCCAGGCCTCCGCCAGGCCACAGGGCTAAGGGAAGGCTATGTGTCCCTCCTATGTCACAGCTAACGTTCAAGGAGCAGTGTCCTCTGAGGTCATTTCAGGAACTCACTCAGCAGGGGAACCCAAAGGGAGGGGATCTCCAGAGCCAAGTGTTCCAGGTGCAGGACCACCTGTACGCCCTCATTGCTGGCCCTGGAGGAGCTGGGCGTGGGCATAGCTGACCAGCATGGATAGCCACCAAGAACAGCTGTTTCCTGTGTCCAGCGAGAAGTAGCCTCAAGAGAGATGGTCATAGGGCAGACCCGAGTGCCTGGAACCTTCCGTGATGGGATGTGGGGATGCTAGGAGATCCACTGTGGCCCTTGGGGTGTAGTGAGCAGCCAGGCTGCTGGTTGCTGTGGGAGGGAGTGTCCCAGCCCGGGGGCGTCCACTGACCCCAGAGACAGGTAGGGGTGCTTGGTGCTGTGCCCCAGCTTCACACAGTGGGACCGTGAGGCTGGGGCTCTTGGTCAGGCCACTCTGCGAGCTGTTTTCTGCACTGAGTCCGGGTGGGGCAGGGTGGCTCCTGGACTTGTGTTCTCACCTCAAGGCTCTAAGTGTCCTGGCCTCTTGTTAGGGCAGCTTCCTCTTGGGCCTGCCCTGGCAGAGGGGTGCTGGCCCTGTGCCCTTCGGAGGGGAGGGTCTCCGCAGCCCTGCCTCCACCGCCATGGGCCAGTGCTGGGTCACCTCACAGCCCTGGCAGGGGTCAGGTCAACCCAGAGAACCCGACTATTGAAAATCGCCCCCACCCAGTTGTGTGTGTGTTTGTAATTCAAGTTGTTGGAAGTTTCACTCTGAAACATTGTTAAAACAAAACAAAACAAAACAAAACAAATATTTGGAGATCAAATGAAAGCAGCCTTTCCAATTGTTGAAGGAAAATTGTGGCCAGCCTATGTTTACTTTCCTGTCCCCTTTCAGAGAACAAAAGTCCTTTAATTGTTTGGGCCTTGTCTGGGTCCCAGACAAACTCCATCCATGGGAACTCACGGTCACGGTCAGGGTGCCCCCTCGTCTCCCCGGCCACCCGGCCTCTCTCCTCCGTCCAAGCCCATGGCTCAGACGCTGGTCACCCTCACTCTGCTTCTTCCATCAAGCCCATCATAAAAGTTGCTTTCAGTAACTGCCCTAAATGCAAGTGCATTGAACAACTCTTATTAAATATTTACTTTTTGTTTAGAGTGCATTTCAGCAAACAGCAAAAGCTGGTTTAAGAGACTCTTCTGTGTTCCTTATGTTAGGAGCTTTCCCATCTGTGAGATATCCGTGTCGTTGAGTAGATCACGGTATACCTTTATAACTTCTTTGTTGGGGGGGGTGGAAATAGTTCCCGATTTGAAAGGCCTCCTGGTGAAGTAAAATGCTTCCTGAGGGTGTGGTTAACCCAGAAGCGCCAACATTTGTCGAGGGCACTTCCCTTTCATGGTATTGAAAGGGCCAGATGAGAAACGCGCGAGCACCCACCTCCAGCCTGGCACAGCGTCAGTCCCTGTGGTCAGAGCAGGGTCAGCTGGGGGACGTGGGACTGCCATCAACGGCACCAGCTTGCAAGGCAGCCACTCGGGGCGTGGAACGACAGAGCAGAGGCAGCCTTGGGGGCAGCATGGAGCAGAAGAAGCTCCAAACCTCGCCTGCCCCCTTGGGGTATTTCTTTCAAGAAAATGATGCTGATGACTTGCCTCTGAGCCTGTCTACCTGCGAGAGCCAGGGATGCTGCAGACCCCTCTCCCCTCGGCTCCGTGCGCCCTTCGGGTTCCCACGCGTTTGCTTCTGTCCCCTCGGGGTGCCTCAGCCACCCTCCGCTTTCCTCCTCACTCAGGCCCGGAGCCCAGGCACGCGGCCTCTTCGGGGCCTGCAGACCTCCGAGCACTGGTGGTTCTGTCCGGTCTGCGGGCGGCCGTGTTGGTCCTGCGTCGCGGCCGTGCGGTGGCCTTGCCGACCCAGATTCGCTCGCAGACTGGAGTGTCCTTGACGTCAGTGCGGGGCTGCTGTGCTGGTCACGAGAGGCGCCCCTGCGGCACTTCTGGTCCTTCTGAAACTGGGCACTCGCGGCATCGGGGGCCTCTTTTTCCTCTCCATTCGTCTCTATTTCGGGGAAATGGGTACATGATATTCTACTCAAACTTCATTGTTTGAGGGGCCCGAGAACTGCCCTGCGCCACCCCACTCCTCCTCTCCCGCCTCCGGCTGAGTTCTCAGAGTACGCCCTGGTTGCCCGGGTTTCCAGTCCTGTCCTTGGTTGGAGTGCAGCCCTGCTACCCAGCCTCTGCCGGGCGGTGCTTGGCTCCCGCTGCCCTGTGCTCTCGCCAGGCCCTCTGAGGACCATCTCCCCCGGCAGGACCAGGAGCCCTCCCGGGACAGGACCTGTTCCATTCTCATCTCGGCACACCTGGCACAGAGAAAGCCCTCGGTGTCTGTGGAGTGAGTGGTCGGCAGTGAGGGAGCTCTGGGGTGGGGGAGGGGGCAGTCGGTGGGTCCCTTGGGCCACGGGGCACAGGAACCAGGGCCCCCACTGTGCTAGCGCCCCTTCCAGCACAGCTAGGAACATACGGTGCGCCAAGTGTGACGTTGCGCGGCCGGTGTCGGGGGGCAGCAGCGATGTGGCGCTCTTCCCGCCGAGCTGTGAGAGCCAGTGTGCAGTGCGTACCCTGCAGGGCTCTGGAAGCTTGCGTTGAGGGGCAGCCCCGTGGGCCTGTGTCTCGAGCGCTGTGTGGAGCAGACCCCCTGCTGACCCGCAGTGGGCGCCGGGGGGAGGTGTTCACTCCGTGTCCCCTGGCCTTCCTGACCGATGCGGGGCGTCCACACTGATCACTTAACCTGGCCCAGTTCAGCTGGCCCTCTGCCCCGGCCTGGACCCTGCAGGGCCTCTGCCTCTGGCTTGCCATCTTCCCAGCTGCTCGAGCCAGAAACCTGGGAGTCATCCTTCATTTCTCTCTTTCCCAGCAACCCCCCCCCCCCAAGCCAGTTGGTCCATAAGCCGCCTCGGGACACTCAGATGCATCCCCGCCACTTCCACCGGCTCAGGCTCGGCCACAGCCCCGGGTGCCAGGACTGCCTCTCACTGTGGCCGAGCTCTCTTCCTATTGTTGTCGGCTGATTGTCTGCCCTCCCAGGAGGCAGCGAGCTCTGGAAAAGCGGGTCTGTGTTGACATCCTTAGCAAGAAGCCACCTGGGGGCGTTATGGGAACAGATAGCAGGGAAATGGGGCACCTGACCTAGACCCCAGGTTGGAACCTCTTCCTGAGGAAGCAGCTTGAGTTGTCGTTTCCTGGAGCCCATTGTGCGGCCGAATGCACCCAGGCCCTGTCGTCCTGGGCAGCCCTCCAAGGGGACGCAGCAGCCAGACACCCGCGGAGCAAGGAGACCTCACAGCCACAGGAGACCGTCAGTCTGTTCTCAGCAGTCTGGAGCCCGTCGAGCACACGGCCGCAGACCTGCAGGCGGAGGGTGGGAAGGGGCCTCCTTGCCAGAGACCTGACCCCTGCTCTGGGAGTTAGGCTGCTTACACTCCTGGGAGCTTAGATCGTTAGTGAGGATTAAGTAAGGAAGATGCACATTAGCAGAGGCTAAATCAGACCCGAGTTTGTTTTCTCTCTCACATGTGATTCTGGGGGGCAGTTTGGGACATGCACTGTGTTCCCAGATGCCAGGGAGCCAGGCCCTTTTCCTCCTTATTGCTCATGACCTCTACTTTGTACTTCACCTCGCGCCAATTATGGCTGCTCGAGCCCTAGGCATCACACCTGCATCCCAGCCAGCCAGAAGGAGGAAGAGGGCTGGAAAAGGGCAGGCCCCAGCCCTGGAAGGCACTTCAGCTTACACCCATTGACCAGAATGTCACCTGGACACACCTTGTTGCAAGGGTTAGAACTGGGGAGTTGTGTACAGAGGAAGGGGAGGAGGGGAAGACGCTGGGAAACTGGCTGTCATGTCAGGGCACCTGCGGACTGAACGTAGTCAGTGAGGGACCACGGTCGCACAGCTGTCCTGCCTTCGCGGTGCTCACCTCTTTACACATTTCTCCAGTTAGAAGCTCATAGGTGGAGGTGCTTCTGCTGTCCCCCCTGCCGACCTCTGGTCCGGACCCACCCAGCCCCTGTGGGCCTTGCCAGGTGATGGCGCCGCTGGGACCCGGGCTCTGTGTGCTCAGGACCTCACACTGGCTCCTTATTTGCTGTAAAGACCCATCTTTTAGGCTGGTAGCACCGCCTGCGGAGTGGCTGTGCTGGGATTTGAACCCAACTGGGCTGGGCCGGGCTTTCGCTCTGTTATTGGCAAAGGCCCACAAACCTTTAAAACCTCAGCTGGAGCCAGGGAGGGGAAGACCCCGCACCTCAGGCCCCCTCCTTGCATGGTGGACATGGGAACAGTGCTGTGGGTAAACACAGTGCCCCTTCTGGGCAGCGTCTGTGCGGAAGGATAAACACGTCCATTCTGTGTGTTCTTGGGAAGGGAACTGGCTTCTGCTGCTGAAGGGGCAGGTGGGTACACATGGATTGTGTGGGAGGAGCTGGGCTTGGCTCCCCAGAGGACCTGCAGGGTTTGGGCCCACTCACGGTCCCCGAGGCCCTCCAACCACGAGAGCCTGGTTGTCACCTCTGGGGTTATCACCCCTTATTGTGATAACACTGATGGTCTTCACCCGTGTTGGTGGAAATACGCTACTGTTTGGGTCGGACAACCAACATGGAAGCAGGGAAACCCAACCAAGGCCGGCCTCAGGAAGGAAGGTGGGGGGTCTGGCTCTACCCAGTGAGGGCCTCCAGCTCAGAGTCTGAAAACAGCCTCAGAGAGACACCTAGCGTCCGACTCACCTCCTTGGGGAACCTACCTTTCTCTCGTACTGTAGCAGGCGTCCTCTGCCCTCCCTGCATGGCAGTGAGGGGGCCGGCCGGTCGCAGCGGTGCCTTAGCCCCAGCCGTAAGCCTGGAGCAAGCCGTCGGCTCCTCTCCCTTGAAGATACACGAGTCCCAGGAAGGCTCTGATCCGCCAGGCCTGGGTCCTGTGCCCGCCCCTCTGGCTGGAGTCCAGGGGGCTCCCCAGAGGAAGGGAGGAGGGCTTGCACCAAAAGAGGGGGGGATGGATGCTGAGCACACGAGAAGTAGAGATGTCTGCCTATCTGCCATTTACCGGGTACTTACCTGTCGGATCTCGTGTTGAGCCCCTGGGGGGTAGCCAGCAGCCCAGAGAGGGTGAGGAAGCTCTCCAAAGACACACAGCTTAAAAGTGGCAGTGCCAGTATTTGAACCCCTGCTGGTCCCAACACCCAATACTACATCTTCTCTCATGTGGGGACTTGCAGCTGGTTCATGGTAGGGCCGGCCCTGAAACTGAGTCCTGACCCCACTGCAAGGTTCTTTTCCCTTAACCACGGCTGCTGCTTGTGGGCAGTGGGAGGGGAGGGCACCCCACATCCCCTGAGGTCATCGAGGGCTCTGGGCCCTGGCTGTGCCGTCTGTCGGGGCTGTGGAGTGACAGTGGGGGTCTGCTCTGTGTGTAGGAAGCTACAACCTCACAAGCGTGCTGCCCACGGCGCCCGACATGGCCCAGTTTAAGCAGGGAGTGAGATCCGTTGCTGGAAAGCTCTCAGTCTTTGCTAATGGAGTCATGACTTCCATTCAGGTCAGTGATATTGGGGATGACGGGAACGGAGCGGGGTGGTGGCTCAAAGCTTTGAAAATGAGATTTGGACCACTCTTCAGCTGCTGACAAATTCGATTTCATGGTACTGATACGTTCACTACAGTGTAACCCAGGGCGTCGTGAACACCAGAAATTGTAGTTTTATTTTTGCTTACATTTTCTAGTTGATGACTCTAGGGGAACTGTTACAGGGATTGTCATGATCCTGATCTACTTCTTTCCTATATCGGGACAGAGAAATAGTAAGAAGGAAATAAAAATGACCCATTATCCCCTGTCATGAGGAAAACTTCTGTTATTTTTAATTCTAGATTCCTATGCATATCTTTTTAAAACTCAAACAGGATTATATTGTATATGTGATTTGACATTCTCCGTGGTGTTTTGTTACAAGGTTTTATTTATTTATTTATTTGACAGAGAGAGCACACAAGCAGGGGGGAGGGGCAGAGGGAGAGGGAGAAGCAGGCTCCCCACTGAGCCGGGAGCCCGATATGGGGCTCAGTCCCAGGACCCCGGGATCATGACCTGAGCCGAAGGCAGTCGCTTAACCGACTGAGCCACCCAGGCACCCCAGGATGCCATTATTAATGTAAAAACATGGCCACAGGCAGTGGCACCTAATGGATGTTGGCTCTAGTGCCTCTGGAGGGGCTTCCCAGGCTGGGGAGGCGGTGGGATGCCCCCACCATGGAGCGTCCCCTCAGCCCCGAGGCTCCTGCTCTTCTCACTGCCGCTTAACCTTTGGTTAGAATTCAAAGGAGCTTTGGTGTGCCCGAGCTCAGCTGAGCCCTCATCAGTCCTTCCAAGCAGGTGACAATCCATAGCTTGTGGAAGGTGATCCCCATTTTATAGGTTCTCCCCCCTTTTATATCTTCATTTTCTGGCTGCAGAGGCCAAGTTGCTTCCACACGAGATCGCTCAGCAGAGCCAGAATTTCAGGGTTCAGACTCCACAAGTGCGCCCCACCTTCCCATGACACCTGCCTCCCAGGGGCCCACCACTGGCTCTCACCCTGATAGTTTGCCCCCCTTCCCCCGACCCCCAGAGCTGCAGACGCACCGCAGAGGCCTGGGAGGCAGGATGCTCTGCGTCCGAGGTGCACGCAGGCCTCAGTGGCAGCTCAAGAAGCGTGGTCGCGCCCCTTCCAGTTACTGTGTCGGGGCGGGGGCCGGGGGGCGGCATGTCGGCCAGCCAGGCGGTGTTGTATGCCCGCCGCGAGGTCAGTTTTGGTAACGGCCAGCATTCCGTGTGCACGAGAAGGAGGAACCGACACCGAGTGTGAGTAAGCTCTCCTCTCGGTCCCCCCTCGGCAGGATCGCTACGGCTCCTAATACCGCAGGCTGATACCTGTTTCTGGGAGAACCTCCTGTCTCCGCGAACCAGTGACCACATCACAGACTGCCGCTGAGACCAGCAGATTTGTTTTGCTGCTTTGTCACATGGTATATATGCATTACTGATTTTTAGCATTTCTTTGGAGAAATTCTGATTTTTGATGTAGTAGAAGCTTTATTGTAATTCCTGTTGTGCATTCCTTCCTGCACACGCCCCGCCCCCCCCCTTTAGGCAGAGCCATGCATATACTTGCTTGATTTTCGTGGAATCTAGCTCCAGCAGCTGGGGGCCTGCAGACCAGGGCTTCTCCCCGCTCTGAGGACTGAGAGCCTTCCTTTGCGGGGAAGGGGGGTTCCCCGTGCTGTGTGACCGAGGGGCCAAGGGCTCCACGAGCAGCCAGTGCTACAGGGACCTGGAGAAACAAAATCCACAGCACACATTTCATTCAAAAGGGAGCACAGAATAAAAACAAAAGACTAAAAATGTCTAATTTCACAGATTGCTTCATTTATATTTCCACATATTAAGGGGATTTCAAAATAATGTTGAAAGTCGTCTGTCCCTTTGTAAATGCTTATTTTATATGATCTATAAATTAAAAAATAATTTTCAGTGAGTACTTTTAACAAACCTAAGCTTCTGCATTGCCAAGGGAATTAATCTTTCCACAAGGTGTTTGAATTGGTGGGAAATGTGAGGTGAGAACTCCCTGAGTGTGTTTACAAACAGAGTGTACAGAATTTAAAATGAAGGGAAGAAGATAGAGCCATGGAAAAGATTTCAGTGTATGGGAGGAGAGTAGTGTAACTGGGTAGTTTTGTTGATATTTTTTATCTTAATCTTGGTTTTCAAAAAATTACAGAATGTGTATAAATGAATAAAGACAAATAATTTGGCTGTGTTTTAGACAGCATTAGAATATATTGTTCAGCACGGTAAAATATATTTGAAATTTGATGAACCAGAAATGTGGTTTCAACTGAATATTTTGTGAATTTTTCTTAAAAGATCAAATTTGTAGACTAAACATAATAAACCCTTGCAGCAGATTGTGTCGGCTGTCTTTTTGTTTTGCTTTGTTTTGTTTTTTTACAAAAACTTTTGTGATGAATCTGGTAAATCAGGGCTCTGGTGTAACGTGGGTGCACATTTGAATCGGGATGTAAGTACAGATGGATCTGTTTTTTGGGTTTTTTTTTTTTAAGATTTTATTTATTCATTTATTTGAGAGAGAGAGAAAGAGAGCGAGCACGAGAGGGAGGAGGGTCCGAGGGAGAAGCAGACTCCCCGCTGAGCAGGGAGCCCGATGTGGGACTCGATCCCGGGACTCCAGGATCATGACCTGAGCCAAAGGCAGTCGCCCAACCAACTGAGCCACCCAGGCGCCCCAGATGGATCTGTTTTTAATGGATGTTGGGGCCTGCTCTGCAGCTGTCATTGACTGAGGTGTTGTCCCCAGGGCGGTGGCAGGCGGGGTATCCTTATTGAAGGGAGGGCGTGCACAGTGGTGTCTTGCACACCCACGTGCTGCTCTGGTGAGATGCCACGGGGCGCTGCTGGAGGCCAGAAGTCCCAAGATCAAGGTGCCGGCAGGGATGGGTTCTGGAGAGGACCCACCCCCTGTGGCTTGTGGAAGGCCACGCCCTCTTGTCCTCACGCATCCTCGTAAGGGCACCGGTCCTCTGGGATCTGGGCCCCACCTCACTTAACCCTAATGACCTCCTTAAAGACCCATCTCCAGATACAGTCACGTTGGGAATTAAGGCTTGGACGTACAAATTTTAAGGGGACACGGTTCAGTCCCTAACAGTGTCTGTAAGAAATCCCCACACTGGGTTAGCCCTGCTCCAGGCGGGGGCCCAGGTCATTCCATCTCCAGGGAACCCTCCCAGTAGGTGACACTCCCGTTTTACAGAGGGCGGGGTGAGTGCCCCGCGCAAGTGGCCGAGCTGTTCCCCCACCCCTGAACGTCCTCACAAGGAAGGGCCCGAGTTTTCCCTCCCCCCCAACCCCCAGCCTGGCTCGTGCACCCTTTCCGGGCTTTCCCTACCCGGTTTGACGGCCCAACTGTCAAGGGTATTCAGAGGAGGCATCTCGGTGCCTTTGGCTGTGGGGCTCACCCCCCACCCCCAGCATATGTGGGTGTGCAAGTGAGGTGCGTGTGCGCGCACACGTGTGACTAGGATTTGTGTTCCTGGCCCATTTGTCCTTGGGCCTTGGTGTTTGTTTGCTTTCAGTATCCGTGTGAATGCTTCATATATAGTAAGGATATTAGTTAATAATTGTTCTAACAAAACATGTTTTGGATCTATGGATTGAAGGAAACGGTGCTACCCCGCTCGGCGCATCTGGTGGAAACCGGCCCAGACTGGGCTGAAGGGTGAAGCGGGGACTGCTTTGAGAAAGGTGTTTATTGTGCTGTAGTTCTTGGGAGCGCGGCCAGTAAGGACCAGATGATATTTCTGAGAAATTGAGAAAGCCAGGGGGCGGGGCTTGTTTTCACAGCCTTTAGCAGAACAAGTTCTCCTTGGAAATGCAGAATTTTTTGATCACCTTGAAGAGCGGTTGGGAAGTAGGTACACAGAGGTGAACAGAGCTCGAGAGAGGGCTTCCTCCCCGGGATGAGGCATCTACCTCCCCGGTGGAGTGGAGACCTAGGCCCCCAGCTGAGCTCGAGGCCTCCCCCCAACCCCCACTGGCTCACTCAAGTGAGCCCTGCACCCCTGCCCTGCCCACTGTGCCCTTCTTGACCTAGGTGCTCAGCCTGAAAACCCCGCCGTCAGATGTGACCCCTGCCCCCCCAAGAGTCCGGCGGCACCACCCCCAAGGCGCACCCAGAGTCTGACGCACTGCAGCCTGGGGTCCCCGCAGCCTGTCCCAGAGCACAAGCCGAGGTCCTCGCGCCTGCCCCCCCCAGGACCCCCTGCGCACCCCCTGCTAACTCACTGTGCCCCTTTCTCCTGCCCCAGGGCCTTATCCTCCGGTCTCCTTCCCCAAGGACAGTCTTTGCTCTAAAGTCACCTTCTCCATGACCCTGATCTCCCATTTTAAAAACTGCAGCCCAAGCTGGGGCACTTCTGATCCCCGTCCTGCACTATTTCTGCCCTTTCCCAGACCTCGCTCCCTCCTGTGCGGTTCCAGCGCATTGGCCTTGTCTTCCTAGCTCCCTTAGAACATAAGCATCCTGAGGGCAGGTTGCTGCTCCATCCGGGTCACTGGTTTCCCGGTGCCTAGAACAGAGCCTGGCACATATTTTGAATGGAGGAATTTTGTTCTGCCAACTGTCCCCCACCCCCAGAGGATGATGTGCAGGATGACAGAAGACAGGCTGCCCGTGTTAACTCCTGTTGGTACTGTTTTAGGCCATTTCTGCCACCACCTCCCATTCTGGTGTGTTCCCAGCCCTTTCCCTGCCCACACGCAGCTCCCAAGGCCCAGGACACATGGTGGGCCATGGCATTGGGGCAACATGAAGACACGGGCACCTTGGCATCGGGTGTGGGACCCGGGGTGACTGTGACCTCCCAGCGTCAGATGAGGACCCACCCCAGCTGCTCCAGCACTTGGGACGTGGACGTGAGGCCACTGGCCCCCCTCTCCGAGCCGCACTTCTGCTCTGTGGTCGCCGGCTCAGCTGCCCGTGTTAGCCTGTCCTGTGGTCCGTGTAGGAAGGCACAAGCGCTGCGGCGCCTGGGTGGCTCAGTCGTTAAGCATCTGCCTTCGGCTCAGGTCATGATCCCAGGGTCCTGGGATCGAGCCCCACATCGGGCTCCCCACTCGGCGGGAAGCCCGCTTCTCCCTCTCCCACTCCCCCTGCTTGTGTTCCCTCTCTCGCTGTGTCTCTCTCTGTCAAATAAATAAATAAAATCTTTAAAAAAAAAAAAAGAAGGCACACGCGCTTTCTCCCTTCCTTCCAATCTCGGTCCTTTGTCCTCTGTAGCTCCTATCATTCTACTTGCCCAGCTCATTCATCTCACCTAAAATAAGAGCAGCCTGGCGTAGACGGATGGACGGACAGGCGGATGGAGACAGGGGTGACGCGGGCGCAGACAGGAGGGCACTCCGGCCACACAGGCTGGTTTTGCAAACAGGCTTCCGGCGACCGCTCTCCCCCCCCTCCCGCTGTGCTGGTCCCTTGCCTGGACCTGACCACACGCCCCTGCAGCCTGGATTTTCTGGGGTGGCCCAGGTGAGTATCCCAGCTGTGCTCTGAAACCCTGATTCTCTCCGCCCCACCGCCTGCACCAGACATGACCTCAGTGTCCTACAGCCCAGTTCCTCCCTGGCACCCCCGACTCTCCTGCGGCCCGGTTAGCCGCACCCTCGTCTGTACCACACACCGCAGGTGGGGGTGCCAGTGTCCCTCGGTGCTGTGCCCCCAGCAGGTGCACACAGCCCAGGGCTCTGCTTAGGGAAGCCGTGGGTTTGCTCAGCACCCGGGGCTCCGCCTGAGTTTAGGCCAGTACCGCCAGGCGTTCAAGTTTGGCTCTGGATGTTCTTGTGGAACCCCCGGACACCCCTCCCTGGAACCCTTTGAATGCAGGCAGCCTCCGCCAGCACCTGCCAGCGCCCGCCAGCTCCCACCGGCTGCTCAGGCCTCCTGTCGCTGCTCCCAGCTGCTCCGTGCAAACAGCCAGTGGGTCTGTAGAGCCTCCTTCCGGAGCGTCCCCAGCCCCACGGCCCCCAGCTGGCCCGGAGGCCTCTGCAGCGCGGGCCCTTCCTCCAGCCCGGCCCCAGCCACCCAGGCCCCTGAGAGAGGCCTTGGAAACTCACATGGCTCCTGTCTTCTCAGCCGAGACCCTCCTGGGTCCTTTCGACTCGGAGTCCCCTACTCCTCAGCGTGGCCCAAGGACCAAGGGTCTCAGACCCTGCGCCCCTCACAGCCCTGGGGTGGCCAGGCTCTGGCTCTCCTCCAGGCCTTTCCCCAGGGGCCACCTGTGCCAGGAAGGAGCCCAAAGAGCGTGTGCCCCAGAGCCGGTCCTGGAGGCGCCAAGGCTGTGACAGGTGATGATGATCTCATCACTTTGTTTTTCAAACGCGGAGGAGAGCGGCGCCCACCACGTCGTCGTTGGTGTCCCCAGGAACCACGGGAAATGCATGCACTCCCCTCACGGGGTCCCCGGGGCACAGGAGGCCCTCGGGGGTGCGGGAGGCCCCTGCAGGCAGGGAGGCATCAGCACCCC